AGCAATCAGCTAAGGACACTAAGAAGTTGGGATATAAAGGTAGAAAGGAAGTTAAGGTAGAAACATCAGAAACGACCCAAACATGTTAAATCTTTGTTTTATTCTTTCAGACAGAAAAACATAAAACCCCCATGAAAGGGAACAAGATCTATTTCAGTACACAAGATGGAAAACCTCACCCGAATTCTGCTCCAGACAGAACCAGATCAGGCTGGACTCCACATACCAACAGGGAGCCTTTATGTCCAAGCTTTGGCTCCATTTTACACAAAACATCATTCCTTTCAGTTTTTACTGTGATGACCGAGGGTGTGCTGGACCTGGATCTGGACCAGGACCGGGATCTGGACCACGCTTACTTCAGAGCCGCTCAGCGAGGCTGGCCCAGAAGTCCTGCCTTAGCAGCCAGAGCTTCGTTCTGCTGGATGTGGTACTCCTGGAAACGCATGGAGATCCTCTGTGTCATCTTTAGATACTTCTGCAGGCACGACTCTGAGCAGCTGGACTGAAAGAAAAAAAAAACAAAACAAAAAAATCAGACGAAGCCAAGTGGCCTGAGGATGGAGAGCCCTCAACAGCCTCTGAGCAACAACTCAAAGGAAGGAGCTGATGATCAGCCCCTGCAGCCCAGACCCAACTTTACAGCTACTGAATGAGGCCCTCTGCCAGGAGAAGACACGTCACTCCAAATCGTTTTCTATCACCTAATCATGGAGTAAGGGCCCCATCACACCTTACCGATTTAGCCAGCGTATTCCTGGCGTTCCAGAATCTCCTAAAGTGCTGAACTTTCTATGGATTATTTCTATTTTGTGCGTATTTATAGAGCAGGGGCCACGAATTAGTGGACCGTGGTGGGAATCCAGACCCACCTGCTGGCTAATCCGGAACCAACCTAAAACCCTTCTAAATTATGGCATGTTGTCCGACAACGGTGTCTAACTTCACTTGCTCCTCCTCTCCTGTTACTACGGTAAAGCCCTGGGGAGCGTCCGGCTCCAGGCTGCACGTGATCCAAATGAGCCAATGAGCTGTCAGTCTGGGTTGCTGCTGCTGCTACTTTTAGACACAGCAGGCAAACCTGTGGCAAGCCGGGCGATGGGAAAGAAGGAGAAGACCATGAGAAAAACTGGTGAAAGAAAATTGAAATGGGGGCTCACGTGATGCAGTTACCCTGAGCGGACGCTTGTCGCTGGGCTGCCTCTTCTCCCCAGCCAATTTGTTTTGTTTTTTTCCTCTCTTGTCCAAGTTGAAAAGCTGTAGGCTCACCTCATAGCCATCCGACACCATGCCCAACCCTAAAACAGCCAAATCGTCTGCCTACAGGCCAACTGAAGGACCAACAAGGAAGAATATGCTAACTAGCAAAGAAGACAATCAAGCAGCTCAACAGCACAAGGTGATTGCTAGCGGCTCTGACATTTTAGCCGCAGATAATTCTCAAACTGTCACTGAGAAGATTTCAGCTCTGATGGACAGGAAATTTGAGGAGTTTGCCACCACTTTGAGCAGCTGCTAAATTAGAAGCCAACACAGAAAGCATCACGGATGCAGAGCACCGCATTTCAGCGGTGGAGGATGACATGTCGGCAGTGGGACCTAAGCTGAAGGAGCTGGAATCAAAAGTGCAAGTTCTGATGGAGATGAGTATCGACTTTGAGGGACGGAGCCGAAGGGATAATATCCTGATCTACAACCTCAAAGAAGACACAAAAGGCCAACAACCAGTCTCATTTTTTGAGAGATGGCTCCCAACTCTTCTTGGCTTGGAGTCTAAGCGGGGCGTCATTAAGATCGACCGGGCTCATCGGAGCCTTGGACCGCTGAGACCTGACCGACCGCGCGCTGTGATTATTAAGCTACATCACTCCAGAGATACATCCAGGATCCTGGCAGCGGCAAGGAAGCTGGCTCCGCTCACATATGAAGGACAACCATGTTTCCATGTGGAAATACCGGTGTTACGCTGAGCTGCGTTTCCCCATCAGATACGGTTTCCCCTGCATCTCCGCACAGCGCAGGCGGCACGATTCACCGTGCAAGCGACAGGAAACGCGCATTCTCGCTAAAGGCGCGTAACAGCCGCCCTGTGCTCTCGCCACAGGGGAACTACGGAGAGCGTGAACGATCAATGGAGGGAGGGGGGGAGGTTGAAGTATCTATAACAACCCAAACACACAGGATTTCAGAATTACACTTCCCCAGTTACTAATTTCATTCACTCACCAGATCTGAACGCCCTGTTAAAAAACTTCACACCCATGAGTAGCGGTAATGCAGCCTGATGATATTTACACCGCATCAGATGGCGTTCCCCCCATGTTAAGCGGGGGGAACGCCATCTGACGGGGTTTAGAGGCCCGTCAGGTAGGTGGGGGCCGGGTGGTGAGGGTTAGGGGGGCGAGAAATGCAAATGTAACGCAATAGTTACTTTAACTAGTAAGTAGTTACTTTTATTGTTGAATAACTCAGTAACTCAGTTACTTTTTGGGAGAAGTAACTAGTAACTATAACTAGTAACTATAACTAATTACTTTTTCAAAGTAACGTGCTTAACACTAACCATAAAGAATAAATGATGAACAGTTTAGTTTGTGCCTTCAAGTCGTTGCCCATAGGAAGACGTTACTGGATATAAC